CGTAATATTTGAAACATTTATACTGCAATTTATGGCGTTTGTTAGAAGCTCAGATGAATTGAGCAAGTGGTAAATTTCTATTTCGTCTGAAGGGCAAATTAAATCGGGATCATCTATTTCATCTCCGTCGAAATCACTTTCACTTTCTTCATTACTACCAAATTTCGTTATCCGATAGAAAGCTTTCCATAAAGGCCAAAATTTCCTCTTCAGTCATATTTGACAGCTTATTTTGATGTTTTCCTTCCATTTTGTACTATAACTTGTTATTAGACGTAATAATTTTTGTGTATATGCCCCAGTCCGTCTGTAGACTGGTACAAAATGTTTGTTGCAATAAAAATATGTATTTGTATTTCAAGAAAAAGATATGGCTTACTTACCGGATTTTTTTTTTGAGCTTATTAAAAGACTTCCAAATATCTTTTTCGGAGCACAAAATTCACTCTTTTCAAAAACGTATTAAAAATTAACAGTTACGTGCAAATTACAGTTCAAGTGGACATATCTGTCAATCAAATTAGGGTATTGCCATTTTACTGTGATGAAAACTTTTATAAAATTTTGTATAAAATAACGATTCTATAATGGTTTATGTGAACGCCGTCTAGAGCCGGGGCTGAGCATTAGAGGGTTAACTTACATATGGGCATATCCTGGGTTACGGACGCGACATTCGCACGCGTAACTAAGCTTAAAATAGGAAGGAAACTGAAAGACTGTATGTATATCTCAACTGTTACTAGGCACCTGGGAAGGTGCTATATTCAACAAAAGTTTTTGGAAGTATAAACAGTTAAGTACAAAGATACAAATAATAAAAAAAAACGGGACGGACGCGACAAAGGTGGAAGCTTTTTGGGATATGCCCATATGTACATATATACATATTTAAATTTAAAACTAAAGTGGTCGTATTATTTTTAGGCAAAATAGGTGGAGGTGTTAGTCAAACGAAGAATTATAAATTTTAAATGATCAAAATAAGTATAATATCTAAATTAACCGGTAATATCTAAATTAACTGGAGCCATGTAGATGCGATGAATCGGCTTAAAGCGCCAGTCGCTGCATTACTTAATTGATACTTAGCACAAACAAGTAACGCACTTGACTCCAGTTTTTTCTTAACCTAAATTTTTTGTATGAACCTAATTGAGTAAAGTAACACATTTGATCCTAAGAATTTCCATTTCGTAGATAAAGCGATTCAAAAAGTTGTGTTCTCCATTATAAGCATAATTTCCACTGTACTTGTGAGTTACCGCCAAACGGGCCAAGTGCGCCAAAAAATAGATGGCCTTTTTGAAAAAAATGCATTTTGAATGTTTTAAGAAAAGTGCAGTGACATCTTTGTTTTTTCGTACAGAAAAAAAATTAAAAGCGGCTGATCGAAGCATCGAATAGATATGTAACTATTTTCAAATACCAATTAAAATTTAATTAAAACGAATAAATTTTCGATTAGTGAGAATCGAAAATTGTTGAGTAACTTTTCAAAAGTGCATGAAACACGCAGTCGGCTTGCACGATTTGAGATGGAATTGGTCAACTATAAGCTTGCAACGAGTTATATATGGCAGAAGAGGGTCAGAGAAACGAATTGGCTAAAAGGCAAACAGAATAATTTTCCTCTGGAGCCGTTCAATACGAAGTGCATGGTATCCATAGATAGGACACCAGATAACCGAGGCATATTCAAGCTTTGAACGACCAAGAGAGTTAAAGATAGTTTTCCTAGTATAGGGTCCATAAAAGCCTTCGCATGCCTTCGCAGAAAAGCTAGGTTCATGTATGCCTTCGGATGAATATAGCATATGTGACTAACAAAGCTGAATCAAAAACGACACCAATATCAACAAAATCATTAACAGAACCGAGTTGTTCATTTAAAATATGATAGAATGTTGGAAACATTTTAGATGTTTTAGCGAGGGTCATATGGAAGCATTTTTTTATATTGAGGGATAACTTATTCGTTTAACACCATACTTCGAGATAAACCGGTCTTCTTGAAGTAACCGCAAATTAGTGGCACAACTGATTTTACGAAACAGTTTCAGATCATTGGCATACTGAATGTAATCAGAATCATTGAAACAGGACCCAATATCGTTAATAAACATGATGAACAACAGGTGACAGGTAAAAAGATCAACGGAAATAAGGTCAATTGGCTTTATTTCCCACCCTGGTGCTAAATAAAGTCAATTGACATTATTACCTTTTCAAAAGCGAAATAAAGTCAACAAAAATTTGGAAATAAAGTCATTGACGCTATTTCCTCATTCAAATGGAAATAGCGTCAACAATGCTTAAAGTATGTCGATTCATAGAAAAAAATGTTGTTCTTACAATAAACATTGCCCCGTAAGTGTTGTTTTTTAATAGATGAAAAAGGTTTTTGCCAAATCCTCAGTGTTGTGATATTAATCCACACACAATCATGAACTACCACCAATTGATTTTATTAAAAAAATTTAAATTACGAATATGTAAAAACACGATGCGAAAAACTAAACACCTGCGCACAGCTGGAATACGAGAAATATTTGAAGAAAGAGTGTAGAAATGATCCATAACTTGCAAAACATGTTTCGTTTCCACAAAAATAAAGCGAACACTATTAAATTGAAGAAACAGTCCATGTCCAAAAACCCCGGAGGAACACTGAAAGAATTCTGTGTTTTAAATTAGGTGGAACAGAAACCAATCTTTCTATAAGGAAACAATTATAGAAAAAGAATTTTCTTACACTGTATGCATGTCTCCGGCAGCAATTTGTGGCGACATCATTTAAAAGCAGCTAAGTAGAACGACGACACCATTTATTAGATGGCCCATTCAACGAGCCAATGTGCCAAAATGCGGGTCTAAACAATTATTGATTATTTAATATCGGAACTGAGATCATATAAGTCAATTGATTGGTTGTGAATTTTGAAACACAAATTATATGCTGTTTTTACTGCGGACAAGTTGTTGCCCCAAAACACAGCAGAAATCTTCCAGTCAGGGCTGCCAACTATCCCTAGTTATGAGGTGCCATATTGAGGATAAAAAAGTGCCTATNATGTGCCAAAATGCGGGTCTAAACAATTATTGATTATTTAATATCGGAACTGAGATCATATAAGTCAATTGATTGGTTGTGAATTTTGAAACACAAATTATATGCTGTTTTTACTGCGGACAAGTTGTTGCCCCAAAACACAGCAGAAATCTTCCAGTCAGGGCTGCCAACTATCCCTAGTTATGAGGTGCCATATTGAGGATAAAAAAGTGCCTATATGTGCCAAATAGAAAAATAAAAGTGCCAAAAAAGGTGTCATTCCTTTTAATCATTCACATTTAGCAATAAAATAAAGCTACATTTTCCAAACAAGTGCAATGATAAAATAAGATAAACCAGTTGAATAGCCTTTATAAATTAGAAAATTTTAGTTGAGAAAAAGAAGTGCACGCAAAGGATTTCACAAAAATGTATTGAAATGTTATTTTTTTTTACAAAAGTGCCATTTTGACACTTTGTGCCAAATTGAAAAATTAAGTGCCATTTGAAGTAAAATAGGGACGAATGGCACGGTTTGAGCCAAATTGGCATCCCTGCTTCGAATAACTTGCAAATACAAAAATGTGAAATATCGAGGGCTTGAATTCATTAATACCCTCTAGCTGAAATTTTCACAAAAACTAATTTGTGATTTCAGAAACCATCTGGGACTTATTTCCTGTCGTTATATAAGGTAGCATTTATATCACTGATGTCAGTTAAAGCTTAGGTGGATTTTTATATCAGAATCTCATCTTTGTGAAAAGTGTGCAGATAGAGGGTATTATTGAATATAAGCCCCCGATGTTTAAAATGTATAAAAATTTTATTTCAACGTATACAAAAAATAAATCTACCTGCGTTACAGCACGGCGGGAGACGGGGAAGGGGGGCCGCGACGTAGCGTGACGTGATGTGCGCGGCGGTCGCGCGGGGCGCGCGGTGTTACGTGCAGACGCGGGCCGCCTCGAAGCTAAGCAAATTTAATGTTTGAAAGAGAAATAATGTCAGTGGATTTTATTTCGTTTTTAAAAAGCTCATAATGTCAATTGACTTTATTTCGCACCAGGGTGGGAACCGAACAACAGCGGTCCAAGGGAATTCCCAAATTAGCGGCAAAAGGAAAAGACCTGCAGTTTCAATTTCAACAAACAGGGTTCTACTTGAAATATATGACTTTAACCAATTTAAGAAAACCGAATGAAAACCAATGTTTCTTAGCTTAAGAAGCAAAATTGTGTGTGACACCTTATCAAACGCATTTCAAAATCTGAATAGATGCAGTCCACTTGGGGCGCATTTCGGAACGCATACACACAAAATTTCGAAAAAAAAAAACAGCGAGGTTCGTTATTGTAGAACGACCACCAACAAAAACACAGACATTGTAATATTTTTTATAATTTAATGGATAGTGTATCTTATCGATTTCTTGTGACTATACTTTAGGCTATTATTCCGGTATCGAAACGAAACTTAGTTTCAAATGTGATCCTTCTAAATCAGATTAATATGTTTGTTATTTTGAAATAATAGATACGAACTTTTTCGTGCTAAGGGTGAACTCTGAACCACTGTGTGACGTCAGGATTTTTTTAAGATTCTGAAATTCCATGAATGTGATTGATTCAAAAAATTATTAAAACAATTCAGTGGAATGTAGAATAACCAAAAAAAACAGAAAATTGAGTGAAATTGGAAAAAACTTAATTTTTCGACACAAGGACGAAAATATATTGAAAGTAACTTTTTTAACTTTATTAGTTTAAAATGAAAAGAAGTTATTTAAAAAGACGAAGTAAATCGCCAGTCATCTAAGTAACTTAAAAAAGCTTTCGGTATATTATATAAAATTGTATATTTTATATTTAAGGAGTTCCTCGATTTATTTTCATTTTTCTTTATACCTTGTCACTAACTTTTATTATCTTCCTATTCCTTTTTCCAGAAATACTCAAAAATCGTGCATTGATCAATTGAATCCGATACGGGCCTGAAGAATATATACATATAAATACACATATCATATACTGTACGTATACGTATGCAAATTTAGATACATACATATATTATACATATTGTACATTACGCTTTTCAGGATGTGTATGTATGTACATTACGGTGCGTATCGAAAATGTTTTTTTTTTAGCAATTTCAAGACCTAACCCCCTAATTTTATTCGATTTTATGAGAAATATTATTGCCTATTTTTTAGATTTTTTAAAGGTCATTTAGAGGTCGACAACTGTCGATTTAGGTCAGAAAATACGATTTTATAGATTTATGAGTTTTTGAATAACTATTTTTATTCGATTTCAAAGATCGAATATGATCTGGGAAGAGTATATATAGGCCTTTAAAATGGTATATAATAATCTATTGTCGGACATGGCTTGTTGGGATTTTTTATCGGGTAAAATAACCCATATTTCTCTTAATTTTTTAAATTTCGACCATCGATGATTTCTACAATTTCAAAATATGTAGTACTATCTAAAATTGAATCTATTTTTAAATAAACTGATAGCTCGTTTATTGCAATCGCATAAAAATTATCGAAGTTAGGCACCTTTTCTTAAATAACTGTAACTAATAAATCATCCATATTTATTAAAAATTTTTACAATCGCTCTTTAGCAAAGAAGTGGGTTTTCAAGAAATTTTAGGTAAATGGACCTGCACCGCCCACTTATATGTTATATGCGTATCTCAAAAACTACTTGACCGATCTCGACCAAATTTGGTATACACATTTTTGAAATCGTACAAAACCTACTCCCCTAAAATATAGCTGGTTTGAGTTTTTTGAAATTACCGATACGTTGGTGGAGCCCGTGGTTTTTGTCCGCTTCAAAACTATTAAACACAGTACTTAAGAAGTCTAAGTACAATAAGTATACTAATTTTGGTTGAGATCGGTCAAGTAGTTTTTGAGATACCCATACAGGATAAAAGTGGGCGGTGCCACTCCCATTTTCCTTAAATTTCCTGAAAAAACCTCTTTGCTAAAGCGCGATTGTATATACCAATTTTGAATAAGTATTGATGAATTCCCTAGCCACACTGCTCAAAAAATCTGAAAGTCCGGTACATAAACAATATAAATTCAAGGCCTTATTTATGAAAAGTCGCCTAACGTCGACAATTTTTAGGCGATTGCAAAAAATGAGCTATCAGTTTAATTAAAGATAGATTTCATCTTATATAGTACTACATATTTTGAGATTGTGGAAATTATCGGTGGTCAAAAAAAAAAAATTAAGAGAAATATAGTTTTTTTTTGTATTTTACCCGATAAAAAATCCCAACAAGCCAAGTCCGACAATAGATTATTATATACCATTTTAAAGGCCTATACATCTTCTTCTCTTATCATATTCGATCTTTGAAGTCGAATCAAAATTAGTCATTCAAAAACTCATAAATCTACAAAATCATATTTTCTGACCTAAACCGACAGGTTGCGACCCCTAAATGACCTTTAAAAAATTAAAAAAAAATAAAATTCAATAATATTTCTCATAAAAACGAATAAAATAAGGGAGTAGGGTCTTGAAATTTCCAAAAAAAAATTATTTTCGATGGGCACCATAATGTACATGTATGTCGTAAAGATATACAAAATAATATGGTATTGTAAATACGCTCTTACACATCTACATAAAGGTATAAATAACACTGTACGGCAAAATCAACTTTTTTTCTGGGTATTGGACCAAACCAATTTTTTTTGTTTGCTGGGTTGGAGCTGCTTCGGCCGATGGAGAAAAGTAAAATACAATTTACAGTCGAAAGGGGAAAAAACAAGAAAATTGCCTTCCTAGATGTAGAAGTGCATAAAAAGGGAACCGAATTCTGCTGAACTGGTATGCAAAATCTATTGCATCGGTGAGATTGATAAATTTTCATTCCAATCACCCATGGAAACAAAAAATAAACACCGCTGCCAGTCTTATTAGAAAAGTCCATCTGCTCAGCGACGAAGATTTTACAGAGCAAAACAACAAGAAAATAAAAAACATATTGCACAAAAACAGCTACCCGCACGCGTTAATAGAAAGATTATTACAAACAACAATAAAACAAATTCGCCAACCGAGCCAAAACACCGAAGTACAGCCAAACAACACTAACAAAAAATACATTGGGGTGACATACATACCAGGACTTACAAATAACCAAGTACTCCGAAAAAACAATAAAAAATGAGAATGTGATATATGCACACAAGCCCCATAACACAATCAACAAATTGTTGACGAAAACCAAAGACAAGATCGAAAAGGAGCAACAACACAATGTAGTGTACCAAATAAAGTGCAAGGGCAATGATAACGAAAGCTGCAATAAATGCTACGTAGGCACAACAAAAAGAGCGTTGGGTATAAGAATCAATGAACACAGAGCGGACGCGAGAAACAAAAAGATGACAACAGCACTGGCTCAACACTTAACAACGCACGAACATATAGCGGACTTCGGCAACACAGAAATTTTGGACATCGAAAGAGGAGAAAGAAGGAGAATGACACTGGAGAGCCTACGAATACAACAACAATTGGACAACGCAATCAACTTTAAGGAAGACGTCGACAACACGAAGAACACATATGCAGCCGTACTAAAATTAAAATATAAATAAGAATACTTGAATAATTCGTCCTAAATGTTGTATTACTTTCAATGTGTGCAAATTAATGTAAAATTCTTGTCAATATTTAATGTGAGTTTCAAGTGATATTATGTGTGTAGATAATTAGTGTTAAGTATACATGTACATATGTAACTATTGTTTTGTATATATGTATGTATGTATGCAACTATTGTTATGTTTTTGTTAATCATGGTTATCCTTCGTTCTTCATGTTTATTGTTTATCGTTCAAATAAAACAGACTCCCTGAAGATGACACGAGAGTGTCGAAACAGGTAGGAGGGACAAGGGAAAAATATAAGCATTTCGCCTTTTACTCCATCGGCCGAAGCAGCTCCAACCCAGCAAACAAAATTCATTGGAATTTGGCCCATACAAAGACAATCAAACCAATTTTTGTTTAAGAGATTGAATCTTAGATAAAAAAGTGAAATCGAGATATGGGCCTTCGAAGTTCGAAATGGGACCTTTGGTAAAAAATTATGATTTATTATATATATTATTATTATAAAAATTCTTATCGTTGTAAAGGTGATTAAACCCTCTTCCTTCCGGTATGCATATTTGTGTACTTCGTA